CCACAGGTACGATCATCAATAGAAGTGTACAGATATTGGCCTACGTAGATGACATTGACATGGTAACACGGACAAAAAGAGACCTGATAGAGGTTTTTGAAACATTAGAAAAAGCCGCGAAGACAATGAGACTGCAGGTTAACGTATCCAAAACAAAATACATGAAGGTCACGAACAGCACACACATTCGAAGGGGTCTCGGAGTTTATATAATCTTGGAACACAACTAAATAACAGCAACCTAGTAAGCGTAGAAATTAAGAGAAGAATATACCTGGTGAACAGAGCTTACTTTGGACTAAAGCAGTTCTTAACATCACACATAATTAGCAGAAAAACCAAGATACTAATATATGAAACTCTTATTAAACATGTCCTGACATACGCGTCAGAGACATCGACTATGGTAAAAAGAGACGAAGAACTGTTGGGCCGCTTTGAAAGACGAATACTTGAGACGAATACTGAGTTGTATCAATGCTATGAAAAAAGCAACATTGTCCTTCTTCTTCTTAACATGCCATACACCAAAGTGCGTAGGCGACTATCTCATTACTAGAATTCTGTTCTTGGCGGCGTGACACAGCTCACCTGTATTGTGTATTCCTGTCCATTCTTTAATATTCCTTAACCAGGACAATTGTTTGCGGCCGGCTCCTCTCCTACCTTCGATCTTCCCTTGTAGGATTAACTGTGGTATTTCATATTTTGCTCCTCTCAATATGTGCCCAAGGTAACCAATCTTGCGTTTTTTAATTAATTCAAAGAGTTCTCTTTCCACGCCGGCTCTATTAAGGACGTCATCGTTTCGAACTCTATCCACCCAAGGTATGCGCATCATTCTTCTCAATGACCACATTTCAAATGCTTCAAGTTTGTTGATAGATGTTTTTTTCAAAGTCCACGTTTCCATGCCATAAAGCAAGATGGACCATATGTAGCACTTGACCATTCTGTAGCGTATTTCGAAGTTTAGGTGTTGATTACATAGGAGCGACATTGTCCGGTCTATTAAAATTAATAGACTAAGGTGGCCAGGACACCTTGAAAGAATGGACACTGGAGACCTCCAACGACAAATATGATATCAAGAGCCAGTAGGAACCAGGAAGAGAGGCAGGCCAAGATCTAGATTCAAAACTTAAGTCGAAGATGACTTGAGGAATCTAGGGGTCACAAATTGGAAAGATAGGGGGGAATGGAGACTAATTCTTGAACAGGCCAAGACCCACCCAGGGTTGTACAGCCAAAGATGGTGATGATGAATGAGTTATTAAAGGGTGCTAAATTTCAAACGGATCGACCAAATAGCTTATAGGTTATTAATTTTTTTTACCCCGGAGGGCGATTATTTAAACTACTGTACTTGCCCAAACAGTCTAGAGGTATTTTGTAAATCGTAATCGATCCTTTGAGGCCTAACAAAGGCCAAAATAACGAGATTTTGCTACTCCGCTAAACTAATTATAGTGGAGTAAATTACACATATATAAATAAAATTGTCCACGTTAATGTACGGAGATTCAGAATTTCCGTTCCTCGACAATGTGCGACCTACTTACACATGAGTGATGATATATACCTTATTTATTTCAAATAACAACTAATGACATAATTACAAAATACAGAGTGTTGCCTGCTTGTTGATTTTGTTTGCTAACTGTGAAAAAGAAGAATAATCCATAATTAGAAATAATTATGTCACAAATAAGCAAAAAAGTTTATGGAAACTGATAACATAGTTCGCATAATTTTTTTCGTTGAAAAAATCACGTTGAATTGACATGAAGCACATTGTATGTTAAAGGACTATCTCAAAACAATTAAAAGACACAATAAAAAAGTTAAATTTAAATTATTCTATACTTTCTTATAAAGTGTAGGAGAAAGTCTAGTAAAAAGGTCCGCTAACATATTTCTCATAATTTTCATAAAACCGCCATTTAGCTTTCTTATTACATTCAGTACTATTAGCGCCACTTACGGGTGAAGATGGGAGAAGCTTACTAGGCTAGGTTTAATATAACCTACAAAAACACAGAATATTGCTAATTTCGTGATAACAAAAGTTGTGTATTTAGGCGTTTTGATTTAAGAAAATAGAATGTTTTTAATGTAGTTTTAAAAGGTAATTCTTTGTTTATTTCATATCTGTTGCAATTTCTCTAATTATCAGAAGTCACTCATGTAAATTCGTTTTTATATTTTATGCAAATTTGAGGCAAAATGACCACGGGGTCCTTAAACTTAATTAAACAATTGCTTAACCCACTAAATAAAGTTTTGAGTTATACAGGAATATTTTTTTATAACAATCAAATGTATGTATATTATAATTACAGAAATGGTGATTAGAATAACTCTGTCTGGGGCAGAGAAATCAGCAGAAAAAAAATGTATGACAACATCTAAATACCCACTACGATGTAAAATCGAAATTGATGGGAAAATAATAAAGCAGGAAGCAAGGTTTAGATATCTGGGAATAGATATAACTAGTTAAGAAGATGTTGAAGAAGTACGACAACAAAGCTTAAATACAAGTAAAGCGGCGAGATCTCTTAATGGTACAATCTGGAAGAACAAACATCTAAGACAAGACACAAAAACAAGAATCAATAAAATAGCAATTAGACCTATATTAACATTCACGGCGGAGACAAGACCTGACACATATGAAACGTGACGACTACTAGAAACAACTGAGATGAAAATACTCCAACGAATATCAGGAAAAAGTCTGTTGGATAGAGAAAGAAGCGAAACCACAAGAAGATCATGCAATATAGAAGACATAAATGGATGGAACGGAAACAGGAGTGGAACGAACACATCAGTAGAATGGCAGAGGATAGAATAGTATGAATAGCACGAGATAAGTCACCAAATGGACGAAGTAGTATTGGCAAATCAAGAACAAGATGGTGCGATAATTTAAACATTTTATGAGGTTAATATGGAAGAGGAAACAGGCTTTAAAGACCCCAACAGGAATCAAATTTTGGAAAATATGTTTAATGACTGTCTTTTAAAAGTGCTGGTAGGCTTTATAATCTGCCTTTGAGTACTTTAAAAGGAAGAGAAAAAATTCCCGAAAATGATTGATTATTTCTTTTATGCAACAGATTATTTGAAAGCTTTAGTGGATTCACTACAACATTGTCCAAAAAATTGGACATTTACTTAAAGAGGTATGTTTTAGAGATGGAATACCAACAAAAATTCATCTGGAAAGGCTTGTTTTAGAGATTTTCTAAAGAGAAATCCAGAGATTTCTTTTAGAATTCCTAAAGCTACCTAAGCTGCCACAGCGAAAGGCTTTAATGAATAGGCAGTCGCTAGGTAGTTCTTTTCCTTTTAGATGAAATACAAAATAAAAATACTATCAATCCTATGAGAATATATAATATGGAAGAGTCTGGTATCGAGTCGAACCCTAGCAAGTTACCCAAAATTTTAGCACATAAAGGACGGTAACAAGTTAGTTTCCTAACAAGAGTTGAAAGACGACAAAACGTCATCGTTGTGCTCTATGTAAATGCTATGAGTCTATGAATCTAGATACATGAATTCTGATCTCTTTATACTGTTCTTAAAGCATTTTCAATGACATACAATTCTGAGTTGAAAATAGGGCCGTATTCTTGCCTGAGGGTCATTTAAGCCACAGATCCTTCAAAGCTACAAAATGATGTAGAGAAGATGGCATTATAATGCTGTTTTCTCCACATTGCACCCACGAGATGTAGAATTTTGACTTTGAATTGAATTTTCACTTCTAATTTTAATGAAGAAGTTATTTTATGGCTTAAAACAAACCATGGAAAAGTCGTAACTCTGTATAACATAGCTAGCTTGTTTGGAAAATCGCATCGAAGAGCTGCCACACTTATCAACGGACACAGTGGATTCTTAACAACAGATATCTGTACTTTAATCCGAACATATTCTTCTCTACAAAGAGATACTTCTTCGTTTCCAAGTACTTTACTTATAAGAAAAAGAAAAATTGTAATATATCTTCATCAGACGAGTCAGAGGAATGGGAAACAAGTCGACGATCTTCAGATGATATCAGCCGTTTGGAAACAGTCCGGGGAGATTATAGGAAAATGAACTTTATTCACTGCAGTTTCAACTCCGGAAAGTTGACATTACAAGCTCTGCAGTTGGTAATTCAATCTCAATTTCCGAAGTTAACACTTCAGAACAGAAAGGTGGCGTTAAAAGGAATGCAATTTCATCATCGCTAGAGAATACTTTTGTAACTCCATATGATATATCTCCACTAGCTCAGGCACCTATTCAGGCAAGAAGCAACTGTTTTCATCTGCACACTAAATTATCTTGTGATGAAAGAAAATCTAAACCATCAAAATCTGGAAATCTCAAAATCTCCAATGTTTGGAAAAATGAAAGAAAACAAGAGATCTGATATTGACGAAGACGACGCCGGCTGTATATGTTGCTCCGAATTATTCAGTAAATCAGAGGAGAAGGAGGTTTGGATTAAGTGCAATTTGTGCAATAATACATGGTCTTAGTTATTCTGTGTGGGTGTAATTGGACAGTAGAAATGGTATATTTGCGATTTTTCTAAATAGAGTTCTTTTTCTGTACAAAAGAACTACAGGGGCCATTTTACGTTATGGGCGGAGTCATTTTAACCCAACCATCGTGTAAAACGGTCCCTTTAGAGCTTTTCAGAAATAATGTAATTTTTCTTTTAACTGCGTATTTAGATATAATTTCTTCAAATAAATATTTTGTGCTGTACCCTTCTTACTGTTTGATTAAACTGTACTTACTTAATTATTCTCCTTTTTGCTATTTTTAGTTTAAAAAAACGTTACAAACACCATTTTACCCCACTCTCCCCCATTTGTAATAAATTTTATTTGTGCATTTTATTTATTTTGATATTTTTTAAAAAGCAATAACTTTTAAAGAAACCAGATAAAATAAATAAGGTATATAAAAGATCTGGAACAGAATAATGTCAAATATATTTATTACAAAAATAAAAAAAGAACTGTTCAAAAACTTTTTGAGGATAATTTAATCATAAAATCGTTTACTTTTACATCAACTAATTTTTTACAATCAGTTAAAAATAAAAAAGAATATATATTTACATATTAAGCGACCAGGCTTGAATCGGACATGCCAACCATGGATCTGTGGTGTAGTCGACAACTTCTGACTCCTTGACAGGCAAAGGTTGTTAAATTTAAATAAAATAACACATTCCCTAAACCGATTTGACAGTTAACATTTTTAAAATACATCAGCAAGTATTTGTAGATAAAATGAGCTAAATAAAGAATCGGATCACAAACTATCTGTATTAAAAATTATTCCTTAACTCACTTTTCCATTGTACTTTTCCTCTTACAACATCTTTGTCAATCAAGTTCTTCTCTTCGCTGTAACTTGCTTCCTTGGCCTTGGTCCAGAGCCAATACTAAAACCGCCTGTTGCAGGTGCTCCAAATGCGGGAACGGCAGGTGTAGTACCAAAAGAAGTACCGAAAGCTGGTGGGGCAGTATTACCACCCGTGAAGTCGAATTTTTTGGGAGTTTCACCTGATGCAGCTCCACTGAAATTGAATCCTCCTGGCTTTTCGTTCGCTCCCGCTCCGAATGTAAACACTGGGGCTTGGTTTGGAGTACTGTTTTGTTGTTGGTTAAAGTTGAATTGGGAAGAATTAAATGCGTTCTGTGGAGCAGTCTGTGGTTTGTTGAAAACGGAACCTATATCAATAAAAAAATTTGATTAAACGTAAATTAGATTAGAAAGTTATAAAAAAGACATGTTTTTATTGTACAATCAGCAGTGATTCTCCACTATTTTAGTCAATCTTCACAAATGCGAGAAACATTTTTATAAACTTAGTTCAAAGTTCTAATCTACACCAATTGATTACGAATACAACTCGTTTCAAAATAAACAATTTGCCATCAATGTTAGATTTGGTTTTTACAAATCATGACCAATTGCTTACAGAACCGCAGATATGCACTCCTGCGGGCAATTCGGATCATGTAGTTAGCACAACAAGCATACAGTTTATTACTGAATATAATCACCTTGGTGAAAATACAGTTATACATGAAATAACAAATTTTGAAAACCTCTCTCTCCAATTGCGTGATGTTAATTGGCCGTTACTACTGGGAAGTCTAGAACATCCGGAAGAAGTTTGGAATAATTTTATAAGCATCATTGACAATTACAAAAGACGCAATACCACAAGAAAACTTACTATATGAACAAACTTAAGCCGTGGATTAACGGTGAATTGATATCAGTTATAAGACACAAAACAAAATTATGGCGAAAATATAAACGTACAGGTGATACAGGTGATTTACAAACTCATAAAAACTACAGAGTAATACTAAAAAAGTATATCAATGAAGCCAGAATGGTATATGAAGAATCTATTGTAAGTTGCAACGACTCTAAAAAACTGTATAAATATGTTAGGTCTGCTATGTCTTCTAAAGTATCCTTTCCATTGTTAAAAAATAACGATAAAACGATTTGTCAGAATATGTATGAGGTCGCTAATATTCTTGCAGATACATTTTTTAAAGTCTTTGCTATTGAACCGTCTCAAAATCAGTTTTCTATAATCAGTCATTCAAAAGTTATTCCCAAAATTGATTACATCGATTTTTCACCTGAAATCATTAAGCGCCATATTGACAAATTAAAAAACAACTCACCTCCAGGAATTTGGAAGTGTCCTATATTTAAAAAAGGAAATAAGTTAGATCCCAATAATTATAGACCAATAAGCTTTACACCAATAAGCTTTACAGGAGAGATAAGGACGAAAAACTCAGTCAAGAAACAAAAAGACTTATGGAGGCACGAAGAGAACTTAAGAACAAAAACGATATAAATGCACACATACTACAACAACTGAATAAAGATATTAATAAATCAGTGAGAAAGGACATACGACAATATAACACAAAACAGATTACAACGGTTGTCGAGAAAAATAAAAGTTTAAAGGTGCTGAAGAGATGTCAAGCTCTAGGTAAGAAGAACATTGTTAAGCTCGCAGATCGAAATGGAAAAGTGGTAACAGATAAAGATAAGATAATTAAGGTAGTTGAAGAATTTTACACAGAATTATATAGAGAAAGGGGTAAGAAAGACGGCACTAAGTTGAGAAAAGTCCAGAATGTGGGTTCAGGGGATATCCCAGAAATAACAATCGAAGAAGTCTCAAAGTCATTAAATCAAATGAAAAACAATAAAGCAGCTGGTGATGATCAAATCGTTATCATAATTAAATCGATTAGGTCTTAACATTCTTCATGGAACTAGGCATACTTCATTCTTTCATCTACTATTTCATCAATTTAATTATGAATACTTCAAGCCTCTTACACATATGGTGAGACTATATAATAGGTACCAAAGTGATCTGGACTTATTTTTCCAGTCCTTAGAACAATTTAATTATTAGTTTTCGTTAAACTTTACTAAATGTTTTCCGATGTTATACTTACTTTGTAAAATGTTATATATTATATTTTGTTCCAATGTAAATGGTATATCCGTTAATAAATAAATAATAATAATAATAATTAGGTTTCAAATATATATAAAAACATAAATTTTACACCGAGTGATATATCTCTCCCTAACTTGTGGCTTGATTATCTACTATTATTTGCTACTTATTTGAATCACTAATATTGAAGTTGAATAATTATCATTAACACTAAATTATCATTTCTCAGAATTTAGTGCCTACAATTTAGATACTTTACTATAGCAACTATAGAACTAATTATATACATACCTGAACTGCCAAAGGGTTGTGATGGCTGTGCTGGAGATCCAAAGCCTTGGGTGGGGACAGAGCTTCCAAAAGCAGGTGTAGTATTATTACCAAAAGCTGGAGCTTTATTTTGAGTTCCAAAACCCGAATTCTGTGCCCCAAAAGCAGAATTAGTTTGTCCAAAGTTGCTTCCGAAAGAAGTAGTTGAAGTATTTGTTGAAGGAAATGTACCACTGGTGGTGGTTTTGGCTGTAAATGCAAATGGAAGGGTTGAAGTAGAAGTAGTTGGCATACCACTTCCAAATGGACTCTGAGTACTACCAAACACAGAATTGGTAGTAGTAGTTGGTGCACCAAAAGCTGTATTTGCTCCTCCAAAAGGTTTGTTATTGCCACCAAAATTGAATGAAGGTGTTGTTGTAGTAGTTCCAAATGCTGGAGTACTTGTAGTAGCAGCTCCAAAAGGAGCTTCTGAAAATGAAGATCCCGTAGTTCCAAAGCTAGGAACATTGGTACTTGCAAATATAGAACCAGGAGTTGTTCCAAATGCAGGTGCTGTTGTGGTGCCAAATCCTTGTGTTGTAGTGGTAGAACCCCCAAAACCAGTGCTAGCTGTAGTAGTTGTAGGACCAAAGTTGAAACTCGTTGTGGTACCAAAACCGGCAGTATTTGATTTTGTAGTATTAGAAGTACCAAATCCACCAACAGTAGTAGTTGAAACACCAAAGTTACTGTTTACTGATGTATTGCTACCAAAAGGAGAATTTAAAGTTGCTGGAGAGGTAAAAGTACCTCCAAATCCAGAACTGGTAGTTGTTACTCCAAACACATTACTACCTGTAGAACCAAAATTCGAAGATGTTGTTGTAGCTACACCAAAACCAGAAGGAGTACTGCCAAAAGCTGTAGTGGCAGTGCCAAATCCGGCATTAGTAGCACCTCCAAAAGGTGGAGTAGGAGTTGGGTTAGTTCCAAAAGCTGGATTTGGAGTTGTAGTATTTCCAAAAGCTGGGGTTGGAGTTGTAGTAGTTCCAAAAGCTGGTGTTGGAGTTGTGATAGTTCCAAAAGCTGGTGTTGGAGTTGTAGTATTTCCAAAAGCTGGTGTTGGAGTTGTAGTAGTTCCAAAAGCTGGTGTTGGAGTTGTAGTATTTCCAAAAGCTGGTGTTGGAGTTGTAGTAGTTCCAAAAGCTGGCGTTGGAGTTGTAGTAGTTCCAAAAGCTGGTGTTAGAGTTGTGGTAGTTCCAAAAGCTGGTGTAGAGGTTGTGGTAGTTCCAAATCCTGAAGCTGCGGTACTTCCAAATCCTGATGTGCCAAATCCAGGTGCAGTATTGTTTCCAAAACTAGAAACATTACCAAAACCACTAGAAGTTGTAGTTGCAGTACCAAAACCAATAGTGTTTTGTCCTCCAAAACCACTGGTATTTGTTGTAGTTGTAGAATTATTAAAACCTGCATTTTCTGTTTTAGGAAGTTGAAAACTGTTATTAGCATTTCCAAAAGCAGGAACTGTCGACGTGGTACCAAAACTATTAGCTGATGAACTTGTAATTAAATGTTTATTTGCAACAGAAGTAGATGTGTTAAAACTGGTGGTAGCAGAAGTAGTGATAGTATTAACTGATGTAGCACCAAACTTTAAAGAACCAAAACCACTTGATGTTGTTGAAGGTTCTGATTTTCCACCAAAGGTAAACGAGCTGTTAGGAGAAGATGAACTTGTTCCAAAGGCAAAAGTTGGTTTGTTACTAGCAGTGGAGGACACCGCAAATGTTTGATTTTGTGGAGCTGACGGTATTGAAGTAATTGGTGGAATAGTTGCAGTAACTGTGGATCCAGCAGTGGTAATTTCAACTGCTGAAGTAAATGTGCTAACAGTTGAATTTAATACTGGTGCGCTAGTACCAAAAGTATTAGAAGTTTTAGGACCAAAAGAGAACTGTGCAGGTGTAGTATTGGTTGTTTGTCCAGTACTTGTCACATTAGGGGTTATAGTAGAACTGCTAATAACTTTTGAATCAAAAGCTGGGGCTGCAGGTTTAGATAAGTCAAATTTGAATCCACCCATCTTTGGTGAACTAGAAGTAAGAGTGGATGATGGTGAAGAAATTGCAGGTTTATTACCAAAATTAAAACTAGGAATAGTTTTAGGAGCATCAGCACTTAGAGATTTTGGAGTAAATGGAATTGAAGATGGTGTACTAGCATTTACAAATGTGCCACTGGCACAAGGAACAGGTGAAGAACCAGAGCTATCTCCATGAAATAATAAGCCCCCATGTTGTGTTGAAATACCATCACCTTTACTTGCCACTAAAGATTGTGGCAGTACTGTTTGTTCTCGTTTCTCTGTAGCTATACCAACTGAATGTTCTGTACTTGTTGCTGCTGTAGTGTCAATACTCTGTGAAGTACTTTCTGGAATTTTAAATGTTACATGTTTCTCAATTTTCTTGGTTGACTTTTGACCAGGTGATAAAATTGATACAAGTGGTTTTTCTGTTTTAGTAGTTGCTTCTGTTTCAGGTTCTACCTCATCCACTTCATCTTTGCATAAGTCCTTATAACTACGCTCTAGTACAGCATCTTTTCCAATAAGGGTTCCTAGAAAAGATGCCAATCTATTTTCCCTTACTGTTGATAAAGTTCCTTCATCAAAAACTTCATCATTTGCTACTACATTTACAACTTCCTTATTTTCTAAATCTTCTTTACTAGCCTCTTCATCAGATTTATTTGTACTTGCATTACCAATATTTGATACCTCCTCTAGAGTCTGAGTTTCGGCATTTTGCAGTTTTATTTCTTTAGTCTGCTTTAGATTTTCAGTCAATGTACCTACAATTACAATAATAATTATAAAATAGAAAATAAAAATATGTAGTAAACATACTTATACTTATGGATTTTCTTTTAGGTTGTGTGGATTCTGTTCTTTTAAAGGCAAAATCCATAGAGGATCTAGAAGCTGCATATTCGTCATACATGCAGATTTTCTTAGAAACCGGTTTAGAAGGACTTGTATTTTCCTGGAGGAGGGATTCATCTCTTAACCTTTTACTGGAATCAACGTGGTCATCATTATCTGTTCTAAGTCTTTTTCCTGCATCTTTTCTTAATTCCAACTCCTAAAAAAATTTTTTTTTATCAATACACTCACAAGTTTAAAAAAGGGTTCAAAGAGTTCAAGATTCAAACAGTTCCAAAGAGAAAGGTGTTCTTAAAAGTTTGCTGATAATGTTATTGAAAATTATAGGACAGTTTGTAACTAATCAGTATTACCCAAACTATTTTAATGTCTAGTAAATAATTTGGTAGCATGGTATTGTAAAGATTTAATTGCTGTTCCAGAACATGGCTTTTCTAAAGGTAAGTCTACATGCACAAATTTAATGTTGTATACTAAGTTACAATTACTATATGCATTTGGAGGTAGACTACTCAAGTGGATAAGTGGTTATGTGTCTGGTAGGTGTCAGTATGTAAAATATATAAATTGTTTATCTTGGCGAGTATCTGTGAGTATTGGAATTTATTCTTAGAAATTGTAATCAGCTTTCAGTACAAACTTTAAAAATGTTATACTTTAGTTTAGTTTGATCGGTTTTGATATGGTTCTCTCATTTGGTCTCCTACATACAATAATGATATCTTTGATATCTATCATATTTTGAGGATATGTGCTTACAAGAATGGATTTATTAGACAACAATACACATACAGTGATATATATTCAATACTTAATATCTCGTCACTACGTCATAGAAGGTTTGATTGCAAATTTATTTCCTTCATAAGATTATGAATGGATATGTTGAAGATCCAGAGTTACTAAGTTTAATAAGTCATAATGTTAATACTAGAAGAATTCCTAATACTAAGATTTTCAATATTCCATTTAATACTACAAACTATGGTCGAAATTAACCCATTACAAGAGTTTAAGAAAGCAGTTAATGTTTTGAGTATGATTACCTAATAAGTTAACTTACTAATTTAATTTAGTTTAATTTTAAGTTTAGTTTGTTTTTTTTTTTAACTCTATTTTTGTAAAAATGGTACATCAATAAATAAATAAATAATGTGGTGTTACTTGGAAATATTAAAAGGCAATTAGAACCAAAACTGAAACAGGCTCGGTGAATGGGAGGACTGGAACAGATCATTGAAAGAAAATGTTTTTAACACTTGATAGGACCAACCAGAATTGTATAAAATGTTCATTTGAAGATGGAGTTACTATAGAAATACAGTGGTAACTTAATGAGAATGCTTATAGCGATAAACTAAATGATAAGGGGTCAAATTAAAAATACATATCTTAGGGCGAGTTAAATTTCAGATTTAATCATTAAAAAATTCATAAATTCAAACAGAATCACTCAATTCAAAGAGTTTTTAATTATTGGATTCTTAGAATCAGTAAGATTGGAACTACTAGATCAATTATGGACAGACAATTGCAGAGGCAATTAATTTTGGTATAACCCTGATAGAAACATGGCTTTATATGAGTTCTACTTACCTCATTTGCATGTATTCTTTTCCTAGATATTTCTTTTAGAGCATCAAGTACACTTCTAGTACTAGTGGAGTTTCCTGAATGTCTTGAATTTAGTAAAGTATGATTTCCTCCAGTAGGATTGACTAGACCTTCTAATAACTTTCTATTGTATTCTGGAGTATGTTTCACATAATCTAAAAAAAGTTTATTGGATTATTTTGACCAAAAATCAACTGTTACAAATACATAGAATATATTAAATAATTTCTTCACTTTCCAACCATCTTTGGTAAAAATAGCATTTTTTATAATAAAAATATTAGTCCAGTTAGTTAATATAGTCCAGTTGTCAGATTTTTGACCTCTACAAAAATCATATGAACCTCACATATGGAGCAGAAACATGGACTCTAACGCAGAAAGATGAAAGACTTTTGGGAATATTTGAGCGTAAAATACTCCGCAAAATATTTGGAGCTGTAAACGACCAAGGACAGTGGTGCAGAAGATATAATTTTGAATTGTATCAGCTCTTTGATGAGCCAGATGTCATAACGTTCATTAAAACACAGCGACTTAGATGGGCTGGACACATAATACGAATGCCAGAAAATACCATTGCTAAAAAGCTAACCACAGGAACACCTGTAGGAAAAAGAAGCAAAGGCTGACCGCAAATTAGGTGGTTAGATGGAGTAGAAACCAACTTACGAATATTAAAAATCAGAAGATGGCAACATGTTGCCAAAAACCGAACAGAATGGCGACGAATCTTAGAACAGGCCAAGATCCACAGAGGATTGTCGAGCCAAAGATGATGATGACAAAAATCATATAAAAATCTGAATGTTGCTGAGAACATCAATTTTACGACTCCAAAAAAGATGCAAAAAAGTTTACTACTTTTACCCCAAGGCTTCCCTAAGCCCCTTCATAGAGAATTTGTATGCCATAGAAAAAAATGATGGTGGCCAAGATGATTTTTAACAAAAATTTTTGTGACCACTTTTTCTGTAACAGGGGTTCCCCTAAATTTTTCCAAGGACCTCTTCATCAAGGTACTACAATGACCACCCCCACTATTTCCTAAAGACCTAAACAAACCTAAAGATACCTGAAAAGAGCCAAAATATGTGAAAACATAAATCAAACTAATGCTATTTAGGATTTATTTGTGAAAATACAGAGTACCTACACAAGTACATTATTAGATTTAATTTGCACTCCTCAATTAATGAGATACATTGAATTTAACCTTATAATCCATTATTTTAGGTTCCAAACTTGAAACTTTCATGTTTTTCAAACATATATTTGTTTTTCATGAAGCACATGGAAGAAAATGTTTGCTAACACCGATAGGTTGTTGCAAACAGAAGGATTTTTTTCATGGCCTTGTCTCCAAGTTCTTTGTAATCCTTGCGTGCTGTTGCCCAGAAGTCTGTAATTTTCTCGCCATTAAAAATGTCCATCATACCACAACTCGACAAATCCACACGCTTATCGTTTTCTTCTTCTGTGAGGCTTAGGATTTGTTCAATTGCTTGACAGCTGAAAGGATTTCAAATCCAACCATCGTCAGGGAGTCCTAAAAGTCGTGGCTAGGCTGCATAGGTGCTTGGCCCATAGGGTCCCATCTAGTTCCAGTGCCAGTGGTGATGAAGAGAGGAGGCTGAACAAAATTAGTTAACAATCTAAAATTTGATATCACTTCAAGTTTGTGAGATATATGTTATTAATTTTAAAGATTTAGAGAGAAAAACTTTGTTTTCGAACTCCTAAAAAAATTTGCAAATTGGACTTATATAGTTTTTCTCCTTGGCTCTTCATATATTTATTTTTATATCTTGTGGAACCTTCAGACATACCTCGCGGCGCCCCAAAGGTCCGCGGACCACCAGTTGGCAACCACTGTTCTATAGAATATACTGTTTTCTTAGAAACCATGTTTGAAGCAACAGGTGATTTTTAATGTCAGGTACATGCATGAAATCAATTTTAAACAAAATTTATATCTACTCGACAGTAAAAATTCGATATCTTTTAATCAGATCGTCCTACTGACAAAAATCAAAATAAGTTTTAAAGGTGAAAAATGCAGCTTTCTTATAAAATTCTTAAATTTTATATTTAATAAATAAACACAGCACAATTTTTGCCGTTGATTAAATATATACTGGGCTGATAATACATACCTGGACTTGCCACCCTAACTGTTACATGTCTAGGTTTCTTTTGCAAGGTAGGCAACTTGTTTTTGAAAAGATGTACTACTGGAAACAGACCCACACTTCCATATTTTTCCTGGTGTGTCACAGGTCGTCTTTGTTCTTTTTGTCTTTCTGTTTCTTCATTATACTGTACAATCCTATTTACTAATCCTGGGCTTTTTGCATCTTCAAATGTGCTAACACTTAAATTAAACTTTGTAGAGGCTAACAACGGACCTGGCTGATATTTGGAGGTAGTTGATCGGACATATTCTCTCCTGTTGTGTCTTGGTGGGGTAGCCACTTCTGATAAAGAATATCTAAAATATGTATTGAATATTAGTATTACTTTTCTAGTGCCAACTAAAATTCGTGTTCTTGTATTTAAAAACAACATAAAAACAACGTCATTATTAAATATTTTAAGATCTTACCTCCTGGGAGTCATTATTTTGTTCTTGGGTGGAGTTGCAAAAATGCTGTTTAAAGGTGTGGAAGTAATTTTCGGAAATAGAATACTTCTACTCGTGTCATTTATGGTTTCGTCTTTAATATTCGTCAAGTTTGTTTTAAAGTAACTGGGTGAATCAGAGAATTTTGAAGAATTAAACATTTTGTAAAGCTTTCAAGGTTATGTTACCAATACTGAAATGTTATTAGGAGAATATAATGTTAACCACGAGATTCAAAGTTATCACTTGTTTGATTTTTCTTGTTTGTAGACAGACTCTTTAAAACATCAGAATCTGAGAACACGATTTATTTAAAAAACTACAATCACACCATTTCAAAATTACAACGAGCAAAATTGACTTATGACATTCATATTTTGATCAAAATTGACGTTTGTAATATGACGTCATGTCATACTAATCTGAAAAAAATTACAAATAATTTCTGATTTTACACCTGTGTGTTCCTTAATTAATAGTAAAAATCAAAAAAATTACTATGTTAATTATTAATAATTATTATAATATGTCTGGCAAAGTTACTACCAATAATGACGTCATTGGTCACGACAGAAAATAAGTTTTCTGCTTCTTGACAGGTCTTTTACGTTACTTGTATTCGGTAAATTTTATGGCAAAATATACAATTTCCAGCTTTTTATTTTCGATCTGAACTCAATATTTGAATTTATAAAGGAATAGAGTAATGTGTATAAATGCCAATATTATCAAGGCCCCCTTAACAAACTATTAAAAAGAATATTGAGTATACCCCCTTTTCTTTATCGATATATTCTGTTAAAATACATCTGTCTATATTTCTTTGTTGTCCATAAATTTGGTATCTTAAAATATTTATTTCACAACTTGTATCTTACCATTAACACATAATATGCTATGCCATTAATCTAATTTTGCACTTACATATACATACAATGTATCTTAGATTTCTTTAAGAAATAAAACACATAAGATCTATAACTAATTATATTGATATCTACCACATAGCACGTTGAACACCACTTAATTTATTATAATCTGCTAAGTGTCTAAAAACAATTCTACTAAGTCTCCACCTGTAGACAATACCTCTTGGCCTAGAAGTTATCACACATCTTTTTTTGGTTCTTATTAAGGCAGAATCTCTTGGTAAAGCAGCTATTTCAGCATCTGCAATTTCTCTTAATTCAGGAGGAAGAACATCGTTTTTTCGAAGAGTGTTAATACGAAGTCGTAAAGGGGCATATTCAGTAGTCATCTTTCTGCGTTTAACATCTCTGATCATCCATCTATTTACCCATTTGTTACGAATTTGTTGAAACTGAAATGAAAATTAATTAGAACATTTTTAAGAGCAAAAACAAAAAATTATATAACATGTAGCTATTTCGTACATTTTGTAAGTTATTTGTTGTTAATAAAGTTGATATATTTTTTAAAATATTCATTTTCACTTTTATATTTTTTTATAACCTCAATTTTCACTTTTTTAAATCTACTTTCTTTGATTCTTTTGACATTCATTTGTCATCTATAGTATATGACTTCAGTCACTTGTTACTGTGTAACTGTAACTGTCAAGCAATTGATCATTGATCCAAAGTTTATATTTTTCATCACCTTGTAAACTGTTATTGAATATTGATAAAATTTAACTTTTTTATTCATACATAACCATTTGTTTAAATGTTTTTTGAAGAGACACGTCAGTGACATCACGTGTCGTCTCAAAATATTTACAGTTTTTCTTTGAATCTGACTTCAGTTTTATCTGGGATAAATTACATATTTGGACTGTACTGTTTACATAATAAATATAAAATAAAATCTTAAATTATATATTTATTTGTGACACTAAAGAGATAAAGATGTGTCTAGCATTACCGAGTAATGTTTCGCCTTGTGTTTTATTTGTTTTTATAAACTGTGTTAGTGAAATAAGTGAAAAAAGAACTATAACCAAAAATGTTTATCTGTGACATAACTTTTAATATACTATAAATGGCAAATTCATTAAAACGAACCAATTCTCGTCGCAGGATCGCCGCCCTCTCATTTTTGACAAATATTACTCTTGATGGCAGTTACAAAGACACTAAGTTAGCCCTTCTTCCCAAAAATGGGGCCACAACACGAGCCCCATTTCTTTGTACAGAGGACATTTTGCCGGAAGAAGCTGAAGACATAGATGAAACTTCATGTTTACTTAAATCACAGCAAAGTCTGAATGAAAAGTTGACACCTGTACTCGATAAGAAGCAAATTAAGAAATATAGGCCTAGCAATAGTGATTCAGAATCTGAAAGTATTATTGCACCCATAAAGGCCACTTTAGAAGACACTGCACTTAGGAAACATACTAGGAACAAGTAAGAAAAATATTTTTAGTCAAATTCGTTATATTAAAGACAATTTTAACTGTAAGAGTAATAATCAGATTTATTCTGGTTTTAGCAAAGGTTGGTTTTATAGCAATAATTTTGGTATTTGTTTACATTAGTGAGGGTCCCTAAAAATTCGAATTTTTGGTGGACTTAGCCTGAAAAAAAGAAAAAAGGCAAAATTTTCATGTTTACGTCTACGGAAACATACAAAAAATGAAAGAATGTAAAAAAATTGAAAAAGGTTCATAAAAAGGTATAGAAAATCAAAAATTAGCAAGAGAAAAATGTTATCAAAATACGAAATAGCTGTATTAGTTATATAAAATTTATAAATCAATTGTAAATACCAATCATTTTTCCCGTTAAATTATCCAAAAATATAAAATATTGTAAAATGTCCAAAATTCATTTATTTAAACGCTTTTGTGTACAATATAAAATATTCCGCGGAGGTGCAATGTTGCCACATACACATTTGTTTCTTTCGGAGTAAATATATTGAATTTAAATTTTAATAAGAGTATACTCTATATGACTTTATTGTTTCTTTTTCAGAGTAAATATAGTGAATTTAAGTTTTAATAAGAGTATACTAAGTATGAGTTAATATTGTTTTTTTAAAAGTGTACCACATATGATTTAATATTGTTTTTTTTTGGGTGTAAATATATTGAATTTAAGTTTTATTAAGAATATATATGTCCATATAAGTTGTTACCTACCGATAGTGCTAATATGCCAGTGGATATAAATTAAAAGATTGCAATTTTTAAATATTTGAATAAAGCTTTTGAAATATTTGTTAGTAATATCACAGAATAATAAACAATCAGAATACCCACTCTGTAGTATTCTCTCATTTTCTGACATTTTTATTTATCTCTTTTCCCTATGACCTTTAACCCATTAGCGTTGAGAAAACAAAATCCTTCTTATATGCAATAATTTTATTTAAAACTATGTAAAAACTTATTTTTGTTAAATTTAAGCCGAAATAAAAAAAATTCTTTTTTTTTGGAAAAAAGTTGCTAAACTAGGAGTTTGGCAAGATCAAATATTGAAACAATTCATTAAATTGTCCCATTTGTATGAAATGGTTTAAAACATGAAATGCAAAGCCCAATGTTGCATTTTTCACACATTGTACTCCCTTTCCCTTTTCTCCCAGGTACAGAGATAATCCAATGATCCTTGTAGTCAAACTTGACGCAGTCAGACACTCAAAAATCACTTCCTGCTGCTCTCCCTATTTTTCCAGTTATTTTAGCGGGGACTTTATCTGTCGTTAAGTAGGTCTAAAAATTGAATGAATAGTAAACATTTTCTGAGTTTTGTATAAAAATACTTTTACCTGACAAATACTTCTTCTAAACTCTAAGAGACTAATGTTCTTTCCGGATTTCCTACATATCGTCCAAGCATTTTGAAGAGCTGCGAACATATTGAATACCTTCAGGTCATCACCTTTGTCTTCGTCACCTGAATCCTCATCCGTAAGGAAGTTTGATTCAGGCGGCTCAATAAAAATGTCTGTTACATCTTCTTCTTCATATGCGATATCTAAAGCTTCCTGTAGTGTAATTCCACTGAAATTATAAAAAAAATGTTTTGACTACATAACCATCTAGTGGGTCCATATGGGTACAGCAATATTTACATGAATTTTTAGCTGCCCCTTGTAATTTTGATACAAAAATATGCACACTATGTTATATTTTAAGATCTTTTAAAATAAGTAAAATTGATTTGATCCTAGTATTCCTAAAAAAAGGTACTGAAAATTTACTTACATAAATCGGATGTCCATTATTGAACACTTTTTACTATAACATGATTTTCTAACTTCCTTAGCTTGTGAAATCTAATAAAACACTGATGAGTATTCATCAACCCAATTTGGACAAATCTAAATAAAGTATACATGTGGTAAATGTAACGTTGGTTGCCTGTTTTATTATAATTTTATTGTGTTAAACAATGGGTCCATATGGTGACTGTAGGCGCTAATGGGTTAATACTGAATGTGAGGTGTTGATGATATTTTATTTATTGCTCTTCAGTAAGTTGTTTTTCCAGTTTCCCTCACTATCTTCTTTATTTTGTATTACATTCTCTACATAGCCTTCTTTTTCTTTTTTAGTCAATATACACAATTCCAAAATCTGTTTTGTTTTTTCCTTTTTTTTTTCTTTAACATCCTTTGTATTTACATAAAGCAACCAAATAACTTCCTTACTGACTTTATATGTGGTTCTATGGATGTGGTCCCAAGCCTGAACATCTGTCTGCTTTTAAGCAGTACTATTATCCATCTAATGACTCCCAATTTTGTCATATTTTTGTTCTACACCATACTTCCAACAAAGAGACAGTTCTGCAATATTTCTGACTATGTAGTTCCCAGGTATAGTGTCATTATAGATATAGTGTCATATCTCTCTTGTGGCATTCTTCCAAGTGGCTCTATTGATTTCAATTACATTTAGGTCAGGATCTCTACATTTATACACAAGTTTCTTTTGAAACTGTGACAATTCTTTGTAATATTTGTAAAATGTTGGGTTTTTATTCTATTAAAACAATTTTCAATATTTTCTCCATACAAACAGCAGCTCTGTAGTAGGCAGCATAGCTAGAGCAGTTATGGTTCTTGCTATACCTATAAAATCTCTCACTTATTGAAATTATGAATAAAATAACCAAGTTAATGTTTAACATTAATAAAACTTGTAGTTAATATATTTTAAAACTGTCTACACTGAAAGCCAAATAAAAAAAATTTGAAATATTGTGACTTATGTTTCAGCTCGGATGTAGTTGACAGAGATGGGAAAATAATTCCAAAGATTCTTAAGAAGATTCCACATCAAGTGTCTATATGTAGCGAGGCAGAAAGAAGAAAGGAAAAAGATAGCAGCTGTGAGAGTTTAGGCTCTGTTACTTTCAGAAGTAAATTAGTAGGGGACAAATCTCGCCAGAAAATAACAATCATAAAACCAACAAGGGATCACAAGTTTTCTGGAGAAAGGATTGTTTTTGTAACTGCCAAGCATTCACCCTTTTTGGTGTGCTCTTATATACCATATAAGAGAAATTACAGGTTAGTGAAAAGTGACGTTATATTTAAGTATTTAGTAGTTTTTTGTAGATTTGTCTTTGCTGCATTGTGAAGGATATTAAGACATACATTAATAACCTATGGAAAAAAAGATGTCGTGAGAAGGGCACATTTGATGCGTCAGATTGGAAAAGGTCTTGCTCTTGGTGTCAGACAATAATAGAACTGTTAGTTTCCTCGTTAAAGCAAGGCATACAGAAAAAATTAGCTGGTTATTTATCATTTTTGCACTGACCATTTTTCAGTCAAGTTTGGTGGGGTGGACATCCTTACCGTCCCATCTTTGGCGTCAGAGAATATTATTTCCTTTTATTATTCACTGAAATCAAGCCATTCAATAAATATGGCAAGAGTATGTATCACTTTGCACATGTCGTGAAACGGTCATGTTTCGGAAAATATAGGGGGAAAACGCCCCTGAACCAAAAAAAGTCACAGAGGAAAACTGTGGCAGACTTGGTCTAAGGAAGATAGACAAGAAGTTTTAAGAGAGTATAAATCTCTAAAAAATTTGCCAGCAGGCACTCTAACTATTAAGTACAATAACTCCATAGAATTTAGTTCAAATTAAATGTCAAAAAATATTTGAAAAGCTTATTAAAGAACTCAACTTTTAGAAAAAAAATGGGTCCTATGATCTTTAGGAGCCAAGAGCCCCTTTTAAAAAAATGACTGTTACATTAATTATCAATATTAAGGACTGAAATTAACTAATCTTTTATGAGAAATGTTGAAAGTTTTTAAAAAAACTTTTCTTCTTCTTCTTCTTCTTCTTCCAATGGCGCTACAGCCCAAATTGAGCCTTGGCCTCCTGTAACTTCTGCCTCCAACAAAGGCGATCCCGCGCCACTCGTCTCCAAGCCCTGACGTTCAGTAAGTTGTGCGCATCTGCTGTGACTTCGTTCTCCTTTCTATTACGTGGTCTTCCCTTTGGTCTTCTGCCCTGCATTTTACCATCCAAGGCCTTTCTCGGCAATCTGTCGGCATCCATCCGTACCACATGACCAGCCCATCGAAGCCTTTGTACTCTAGCGAACTCTGCAATAGGTGCTTCTTTGAACAGTTGGTAGAGTTCATGGTTATATCTAGATCTCCACATCCCATTTTGAGTGATGGGTCCAAAGATCTTCCTTAGGATTTTTCTCTCGAAAACCTCTTCTTCGTTTAGTGCTTTCTGTCAAAACCCATGTCTCGCATCCATAGCATACTATCGGTCTGATGATAGTTTTATAGACCTTAAGTTTCGATTTTCTTTTAGCAAACAAAATTATTAAAAATTGTTTAGACAGGAGTGTTTTAAATACAGTTGTTAGGCACTTTTTGTTCCAACTAGAGTAACAGAAGTGGGGCTAGCCGAATGAAGGACCATCTGCACTCTTAAAAAAATCCAACACAGTTTCAAGATAGAGCACTCAGAAAAAAATGACCTGTCTAGGATTCTCTCAACTAAATTTGCTCTTTTTTAAACTGGCGTACAATGTTCAACTAATATCATTTATCGAATTTTCATTGCGAAATTATCCAAAACAAAGCAGCTAATAACTATGAGATGTACAAACCTTTTCTTAAGTCTCTTTTTATAGTTATATATTTATTTAAAATATAATTATATTAAATAAATATTATTTATAAACAGTATTAAATTGATATTTATAAACAATTTTGCCTAATACTGTTATTAAATTTGTACAAATCACAGTTTTTTAGGATTAAAAAATATTTTGGAACAAAAAATTGCATATATACTTTTATATTATAAGAAAGTATAAGTTTATTTCCTGATGCCCTTTAGCATCAGGGTGTGGTGCATTATGTATTATATAACCATCAAATTTAACTGGAATTTTTCTAACTGGAAATTTTGCAATCATATACATAATGTATCTACACATATGTTCAATGTTTTGTTTCATTTAACTGATTATTTAATTAAAATTATGCTATAGATGATTGTATTTCATATTAAAATGTAAACAATCAACAGTATATTTACTACTATAGTTATCAATGTTTTGTTCATCCTGGTATGATAAATATTTTAGTTATCACTTTTGTTAAAATAAACACATTATTTTAAAAACAAATGCGCGGAAGTTATCTAAAAAACTTTGATAACAGAATATGAAGATGAAAACATTTGAAAATAACAATTTTTGTTAATTATCTTTATAGATTTTTTCCTAAAATAGAAAATTTTGTACTAAAAGGGATAGCAAATAAATGCTTACAATGGACGATTTTTGCCTTTAAAATATCTTATTTGATGGAATCATCAATTTTATATTTTTTCTTTTTTCCAAGATATTAAGTCATTCCATTAATTCAATTATGCTTTTTATATCTATATTCTACTTCTCCTTTATTTATATTTATTTCATTACACAGTACATTCTGATTCAAACTTTTTGGTTTTGGTCTCCTTTAGTATTTTTCATTCTTTAAAATGATACTCTTGATAGAAAAATTTAAGTCCCTGATAAAAGAAGGTACTGAATATTGAAATATTGAATAAACTAAAGGTAAGAAAACTACCATTGGTATATTATTTAGAAATTTACAATAAATAAATATATTGACATATTTCTTAGGGCAAATTTGACGAGAGAAGCACAACGCAAGAGAACAGCATCTGGTAACCGACCTTTGTCTACTTCTGGGGATGGATTTGATCCATATGATTCACTTGGCATCGCAAGAGCTAGAGATGGACAGGTAAGAAAACCTAGTAAGATGTATAGTAAGAATATTCACTGTATGTAACTACAGTGTAAAAAAATGTAATATATTCTTTTCTTCAAAAATGTTGTCGAAATATAACGGACTGAAAACCACAATCATTTGTCTCCTTCGAACCAAACTCAGGATCATAAAATTCTTGATCCACGTCAAATAAGAAAAATAAATAACTTAGGGCTCTTGTTGCGAAAGTTTTTTTCAACCGGTAACGGGCCGATGCTAAACGGGTATCCTTGTTGACGGTTCGTAATTTTCAAGGGATATGCGTCCGTTGACGGTATGGAATCTCCGAAATATCGTCAGTTTTAAAGTAACAAGTGCATGCAATACATGTTATATCATGTTGTTCCCCTGTTGTCGTCAAAGAAAAAAATTATACTAGCCTATTATTTGTAGGTGGAATGAGGAACCACCTTGGAATGAGGTGAAGGCCTTAGCGCAAAATACAACCCGATGGCGCGTTTTCACTGAAGCTCTATGCTCCACTTATAGTTCAAGAACCTTATATATATATATATATATATATATATATATATATATATATATATATATATATATATATATATATATATATGCAAAAATCCGTTAAGTCCGTAATTGTTTGTTTCGAGAAAATTAACTTTTAATGTTTACTGTCTCATTAAAACTAAACCATTAATTTCTTATGATTATTAGGTGAAAAAAATTAAAGTTTGAAAGTTGATATATTTTGGCAATACATGTTTTGCCTACAACATTATTATTGTTTATATAGGATGCTAAAAAACAAAAAAAATGCAGGACTTAAATGATTTTGGCAGAATAAAAATAGCAAAAATGTATTTAATAGTTTAATCTTAAACTAATACAACAACAATTTTATAGCATGTATTAACAACTATTTCTTTCAGTCTTCAATATCTTCATCACTGTTGGTTGAGGAAGGAACTTCGTCTACAGCTGATTTCGATGTTGGCAACGATTTGTACCAACCGTGAAATTCTTCTGGGATGTCTCCTTTACGACACAGTTGCAGCAGGCTATTTTTTTTCTTCCCTGTTATTGGAATTATTTTTGAATATAAATTTTGAAGGGTTATTTTTTCAAAAGAGTTTGGAGGAGTTTTACCAAATACTTGAATTTCTTTGAACTCTGAAGTATGGTCATACCTATACTGAATTACTCCTGGTTTGGTTTTTTCATATTTTAGACACTTGATTTTTAGCCAATTTACTGTGCTTCCTTCTGTATTTTTGTTCCTGTTTTTTATTAATTTTGTTGATAAATCTGTAAGGTCTCTGAAATCTGAAAAATTCATCTGTCGAACATTATAGCCCCTACTTTTTTTGTTTCGGACACGTCTTGATCTTGCGATTCTAAAAATATTAAACCAATCCTGAATGGTATAAACTGGAACGTATTTCTTTGCTTTCTCTATAGCACTGTGCATGCTGTCCACCTCCATAAAGGTGTGGCCACTTTCGAGGAACTTGTGCTCTATGATTTCTAGGTTTGAAGTTTGGACCAAATATAAAAATAGTGCTGCAACATTTTGGTTGCGGTTTTGTCCGCCACAGGTATCAGAATACAAACAGAGCTGTTTTATTTCAGGTTTTATTTGGTTAATATAGTTAAGTAAGCAACTACCTATTTCTGAACTGCCTCTTTTTCCTTGTAACTCTGTCCATCCATAGCAAAAGGCATCATTTGGTTCACGTAACTCATAAATGGTAAAATTATACATGCATACTTTAAGACTTTTTCACTCTTTCTATACTTTCTTGGTCGGTCTTGTTATGTGGAGTCTTTTTACCTCTATTGTCTTGTCCAACAAACATTTTTCCCTCTCCCTTATTTTTATAAGCAGTATCAATCATATCGGCCGAAATGCATAAAGTTTTAAGAAAAAAGCTTTTACATACCCGGATTTTTTGCACATCATTATTTAAATAGTAAATTTTTGTATCGGTTCTTTCTTTTCTTGAACTCTCTGTTCGAACTCTTCTCCTTAACGGTGGTATACTTTCTGTTGTTCCTAAAAGAAACTCTTTTTGCTTTAAATATTCACTATGCCAAAAGTTGTGACAAAGTGATTTTCTAAGTTCTTCTGAAAAATGTACATTGCATTGAAACCGGCATTTTTCGCAGTTTGATACCTTTGGTGCCTTGGATTCAATTTTCTGTTTTTTCTTTAAATTTCTTTTCCATTTTGTAGGTTCAGCTTTCTTCCATCGACCTCTTTTTTGTGTAATTTGTGTATCTGCTAATTGTTCATTTATTACATTTTCTTCCTTACCTGCCTTAGTACTTGAGACATTTTCTTTATCAGTGCTTTCACTGTCTGATGAAGGTTCGTAATGTGGATCTTGAATTGAACAGTCAGAGTCAAAATCTTGTACTTCAGAATTATCTGAAACAACAGAATTGTAAATCCTACGAGTTTCAAAAGTATAGTAATAGAACATTATCTAAGCTTTTACTTAGCTTGTAGCTAAATGAATCGCCTACTAAATTGGTAGGTATTCATTGATAATAATAATTAGTATACTAACTTGGACAAATTGGACCAGCAATAATGTATTAATGATATTTTGTTGTTGAAGTCGAACCAAAACAATTAGAATTACAAATTTAACATTCTATGAGTTCTACAAGTATACTAATAAAACATTATCTAAGCATTTACTTAGCTTCTAGCTAAAGTAATTGCCTACTAAATTGGTAGGTATTGATTGATAATAATAATTAGTTGCAAATATCAGCAAGAAAATATTATGTACTCTGTTTAATAGATCTTTTAAAATAAAAATACATAATTTTAATCAAACATAACCTTACTTTTAGAAAAATTAAAAATAATATAAGAATCCACTATTAAATACATACCCACATTATGGTTCTCCTCTTCTAATGCCATTAACACTAATTTTTCACATCTACTTTTGCCACTTGTCATCATTTTATTGAATAAAAAACTATAAAACTTAGGAAGGTAACACTGTGAGGTTTATTCGTTACAATGAATATTGAACACAAAATAGTCTGCCAAAACAAGTTAGGTGTCCTTATGTGATTTTTGCTGCATAAGCTATTCCCCGAAAAACATTGTGATAAACAGCAGAAATCGTTTAAAATTCCTTAACGGTTTTTAGCTGTATTACATTGCATCATTTTGGTAAATATATTTCTGCAACATCGGCTATGTGCTCTTAACGGATTTTTGTAGTAGATTTTGCATTCTAGGTCACTATTATTTTACAATGTAAACCTTTTAAATAAACATAAAGGATTTTTGTAGAAGATTTTTTTCTTATTATAAAAAATAATAAAAGAAGTAATATCCATTTAAAGTAACTTATAGTATATTGCTTGTATAAGATTGTGTTATAAGGTAGTTAGTATATTTTGGTCACATTTAGTATTAACGTTTAGATAAGTGCTTTCACTAAACGGGTTTTACCAGTAGATAGTTTCTCTCCTTCTAATGCTCTCTATGAACAAACCCGGAAAATGACCAAACATGGACTTAACGGATTTTTGCAGTAAGCCCACGATATATATATATATATATATATATATATATATATATATATATATATATATATATATATAATTTGTATATCAAATGCAGAAGCAACGGGAGAAACGTAAAAGAAAAATATGGATAAATCAAATTTTATTAGAAAGAGAAAAGTATGGTGCTTTTCATACACTTTAGAATTGAAAAAAGACGAAACAAAATTCTTTAATTACTTCCGAATAGGTCAAGAAACTTTTCGCAAATTGTTAGGAATAATACATGATAAATTAAAACGTGCTGACAATAATATGAGGCTATTCCTTGCACCTGCTGATCGACTAGCTGTTACCTATGTATGAATTATGCTATTAGTATAACAGAATAAAAACTTTCGGTTATAAAAAAACTAAAAAAAAAATTACACACTTAATAGATTTTTTATCATTTAAGAATATACAATCTATATATAAAATAAAATTATTGGTGAAATAACTTATTAAAATCTCCATATCAAAATCCATATTTTAGCGGCAAGAAAGAAAGAAATTTATTGAAACAACGGATACTCACCCAACGCCGTTAACACACTTCCATATAAACTAAAAAGGTTCACTGAGGGTTCACGGTACCGTCCCGTCGAACGTCTTGCCGAGAGGGACTGGATACGTAGACGGTGAAAAGTTAACCGTGAGTTGGTTGCCGTTGCGTGAACACACATTCATAAGAACCTGAAAGACACTGAACAACGGCCAAAGGGACGGTGTCAAAAACGTCACGTTGAACGTTGTCGTTAACAAGAGCTCTTACAGTGTATCTCGGGTTTGGCTATATTCAATTCTATCCAGGACTCCCGTAGAACAAACACTTTCACTGACAACTTTTTTCTTTGTAATCTATAAAATTAGGTATTGCAAAAATTCACTGCTTCTCAACCCCTCCTTCCTTGTTCCCAAAATAATTCCTAGCCAATCCGGTTCTTCAGTTTTCTCCCTGTCAGACTTTGTCTACGTCTCAGTGTATTTGATTGGTCTAACATTGTATTATATTTATTATGACAGACAAATAATAAAATAAACAAACAAACAACAAAAAATTGATTACATAATATATGTTAATTCATAAATTGTAATAATTATTAAGGTCTAAATTTTGATATTAGAAGCAGAAGCAGAACTACAGTTTTTGTATTAATAAAAAATGGATTCAACAAGAAACTATCGAAAGAAAGTGAGGGTCTGAAAGACCAAAACTATAGTAAATTTAGTAATATAAAGATAAAATTAATAAAATGAAAAAGACAGCAAATATTTGATTTCACGCAAACAATCCCTATGTATCTGTTGATACGTATTTCGACCTAATAGGTCTCATCAGAACAGATATTCATAGGAGTTCTCAACGTGAAAAATCAATATCTTCTGCCTTTTAAGAAGCAACGATAAAATGGCTTCAATACGGACGCGATAGCGACATCTAATTACAAAATCCGTAAAATAGTTTCGAAACACAATTCAGATTTCTGAGCCTTCTAAAAATTGCAAGGCAAACAGACATTGATAAAAGATGTTAAAAGGGACATGGGGAATCTAAAATTTGCATTCCACGACATGTCTTTTACAACTAAGCAGAAATCCTTAGCGAATTTCGGATCTGCTCTGTGTGAGTACTAGAAGCACAATTCGCTAAGGATTTCTGCTTAGTTGTAAAAGACATGTCGTGGAATGCAAATTTTAGATTCCCCATGTCCCTTTTAACATCTTTTATCAACGTCTGTTTAGAAGGCTCAGATTATAAGCAGAAATCTGAATTGTGTTTCAAAACTATTTTACGGATTTTATAAAATTAATATTTTGTAATATCTCCATCAAACCTGTTGTATACCGTGCCACAGATCATCAGTATTTTCAGGTATAAAATTACGCTGATACAACCGTTTTATAATAGCCCTCACACATTCTCGATTGGGTTTAAATCTGGACTGTAGCTGGGCCATGGTAAGATTTCGATGTTGTTATTCTGGAGCCACTGGTTTATTATATTTGCAGTGTGAACAGGACAATTATCTTGGAGGATAAAATTGTTTTCTGGATACAACTGTTCTACTTTGGGAAACATGGTGTTTTCTAGAATATTCAGATAAGTCTACCAAACAAACCTGCCATCAGTATGTCATACCATTCCCATTCCTCTAGATGAAATCCATTCCCATACATTGGCACTAAAATGACTAGCTGCTCGATATCTATCAACATATAGAGGATTAAATATATCATTATCTGGTCTATACACATTTTGCCCTTTTTAGAAGATTGAAAAAATTTCTTATCTGTTAATATTACCCTGTCTCAAAAATTTTGATTTTGTAGCTGATGTTTTAAAGCAAATATAAGTCTTGATTGCTTCTGTTGTGCTATAAGAGCTGGTTTTTTTTTGCTGCAGTTCGGTACCTAAGAGGCAATGCTTTAATTCTGCGCCAAGTTGTTTTCTTTCTTCCCGGAAATTGTGACATAATTCTTGCAGTTTTTGTATCTTCAAAAGGATTCTCTTCTAATTTCTCCAAAAGCGTACCATCTTCATGAGCGGTAGATATTTTTGGTCTTCCAGAATCTTGCTTTTTTTCGAGTTTCTTGTTCTCTCCATCTTTTATTAATATTAAAAATTGTTATTCTGCTTACGTTAAACTGGTTCGCTACGGCAGATAGTGACCAACCATCTAATTTCGTTACAATTCTTGCGTTTAGTTATTTACTAGCATGTGGAGCCATTTTTTGAGGTTGAACAGAATAAGTTACCTGACCAATTTTAAGATTTGGCGGTTTTTTTCCGAATCACTAAATTACACTGTAAAAATACCTATCTAAATATACAAACATTTGGGTTTTTGCTGCAAATTTTTATTTCTAATGCATTCCCCTCATAGGAATAATACCAAAAATAATGATGATGATCAAAGCAAACTGTTCAACTGTCCTCAATCATATTAAGTTAATAACTTTGCTTTAAACAATTTTGAGAAAAGTTTATTATTTTAGCAAGAAGAATCGTATGGATATTTACTGGAACCTTCGAAATATCCAAAGGATGTGGTTTTGAAAAGAAACACCATTGACGATCCCACGGATCAGTCTCTCGATCCTCTTAAGCGAAACGCACGACATTTTGTTTCAAGGTAAGTTATACAGTATAATCATTGTGTAGTGCCATATTTATGTCAAAGTGGCAATAATGTACGAGTATACTGTATGCTTTGGTTTTTATAAAATGTGTCGTAGCAGCCGTTTGTTTGTAATAATGCGAAGGTAGGGTCGCCATGTCGTAATGCTAGAGAAAACGATTTATTTATGCATTGGGAGGAGGTAAATATTCTTTTCAATTAGGATGATAAGTTACATCTTTATTTGGCGAAATCTGTATTCGTTCCCGGTATCCTTTCACCCTACTTCCTGGTATCCGTCTTCTACCCGCTCCTCCTGCTCCTACATTCGCCCACTTCTATATCCATATGTGTGATGGAGGGAAGTCAAGAATGATCTACATGGAGGTGATTGGGCCAGTTGACATCATTCGTGTTATGATTAAGCATGCTTGTTGTTAAAACTTATTCAGCTTCTCTCTGGTGTTCTTTTGATCGTATTTAAACCTCCATACTAGTTCTCCATAAGTAATCGTAGATCTGACTAAAGACCAAGATTACTTACGGGGTACTACCATACCCCAGGATTTCTCACATATCCTTCGACATGCTCAAAGGGAAAGTTCAGCTGTGTTGGATAATCTTTCTAGATGGGCATTCCATGTAAGCCGCTTATCTAATATTACTACAAGATATTTGACCGCATTCATTTGAATTCAGGACTGTATACCAAAGGATATATTTTTTATTTACTAATATATTACAATTCTATAAATTATGTATTTGAATTAAATATTTTTTACTTCACCAATAAACTTAGTCGCTTTTTCAAATATATTCTATATACGCGAGAGCGAAATAGCTAAATTGATATAGCGTCTGCCACTGGAACAGACAATTGTTGGATCGAGTCCCCATATTAGTAGCATTTTTTATTTATTTAATAATTGTAATTTGGATTTAAAAAAATGGGCGTTGATACAAGATTTGGCAGCTAAATAATTTATAAATTATTGTTGAAAAATGGTAGATGACAAGTGACTACTACTGACGTCTAGCGGATAAAAGTTGCAACTATTCGACAAGATTTGGCAGCTAAATAATTTATAAATTATTGTTGAAAAATGGTGGATGCCAAGTGACTAATAGTGACATCTAGCGGATAAAAGTTGAACTATAAGTCAGTAGACTCCTTCCACGGCGCGTCGGGGCATGTGACGTCATCTTTCTCTCTCCAACACATTGATAGAACGCTCTCTCTCTAACACATTGATTTCCCTATGCCGGGGGGAACCGGCATAAACACTCTACTTTCCTCTTACCATAATTACTAGATCATTCGCATAGGGGTGCACTTCTAACCTCTGTGTCTCAAGGACCGACATCAGGTCATTCACCACGAGTGATCAAAGGAAGGGTGAACGCACTCCCCCCTGTGGGCACACTTAGCTGTTTTGGCCACAACCTCCTCTCTTTTTAGGTCTGTTAGAATCAGCCTATCTTCCAGCATTACTTTGATCCAGTTGCATACCGTAGTGAATATTCCTGATGCTGCTGCATAATTAAGAAAATTTGTTGCCTTCTATATATAAAAAGGCGGTTAACGCAATCTCTCCATTGTTAATGGGGTGACTAATTTTCTGAACTACTTCATCTAGTGCTGTTTCTGTTGATTTTCCTTCTTGATTGGCATGCTGGTCGCTATTGAGAGGATGGTCCCCCAATGATCCCTCCAATGATTTTCTTTGTACTCTAATAAAATTTATTTATTCTTGAGTTCAACACTACATTAGATTGCTTTACAACTTTCCTCATTTTCAGGTGCTTGTCATACGAAACACCAGGCCAAAGGATATCTAATTATACATCTAATGTAATCACATCTGATCTTAAAGAAGAAACGTTAATAAAGGGATTTATTTATCATCCAGACCTACTAGACGACCCAGAACTTATTGTCGGGAAACACAGGACTGTTCTAACGTTTACTTCTTACATAACATCTGTCATTGACTACGTCAAACCATCTGATTTGAAACGAGAGATCAATGAGAAGTTCAAAGATAAATTTCCACATATTGATTTGACTTTAAGTAAATTGAGAAGGTAAGTCGGTAGAAGCGTTATAAAATATCAATATATTTTATTTGTTTAGCTCGCATGATATTAAAAAAGAGTGAAAAAAGCTCAATCTTCTACAAATGTATTTAACACTTCAACTGCCACGAGTACCATATACGGACACAGACAATTTTAGTTATCTGCCATGTGTACATGTATTGACCTACATGGTCTACTAATGACTAAATTGTAATTTAAAATCAGTGTTTATTTGAAAATTTTTGCAAATATTTTTTCTTAAAATTTAACGTAATTTAAAACAAATTACTTAGTTAAATAAACAATTCACATATTAGTCGATTGAATTTTTATAATGTATGCAACGGGGTACCTTAAAATCGAAAAATTTCAATATTTGAACCGGAGATATTGCAACTTTTATAAATTTGAAATTGCGAATTCAGTTTTTGAAATAATACAATCAATAAATAAAAAAAAAGGTTAACTTGGATTCTAAGGGTCGTAGGATATCGTATTTTGTTTAAATTCGTGTAAAAATACCAACGATCCTAATAGAAAAAATTAACTTCTTATATGTTTGAGATATTTTGAATGTTTATACGCTGAAAACCACAGTACTTTTGTAAACCTATTTTATAATATTTAACATAACTTTTTAATCGTTGAGGGATTTATTTTGATAAAGTAAGCCTTCCTCTTTAATTTGGTGCCTTCAGAATTCACGTAGACTTAATAGTTTACCTATAATAACGTTGTAGATAAAAGCTTTCTGGGAGAAACAATTTCAATTTTGCAGTAACTGTTAGGTGAAACTACTTGAAATTTTTATAGCTGAATATTGTCCCTATTATCACTCTTATTGAAGTTTTTTTGTACTAAATCTAGTTAATAACATTTTTATTTTCAGCTTAAAGCGCGAAATGCGCAAAATAGCCAAACAGGAAAGCAACATAGACCTTCTAACCGTCGCCCAAGCTTATGTCTACTTCGAGAAACTTATCTTACGCGGACTAATCCATAAACAAAATCGAAAATTGTGTGCTGGTGCCAGCTTGATCCTCTCAGCCAAACTAAACGACGTTAAGGGTGACGCTCTGAAGTTGTTGATCGAAAAGACGGAAACAACTTTCAGATTGAACAGAAAGGAATTGATGGCTACTGAATTTGCTGTTCTAGTGGCTCTGGAATTTGGACTACATATACCTACGTACGAAGTGTATCCTCATTATCAAAGGCTTTTATATGAATCATAGTATATGTCTTCTAAGTTGCAAAAATGTTATTTGTCTACTGACATTTTCGGTTCTTGTATAGCTGGAAACATTTGAATTTGTTCATTCATTACTTCTTAATCTTATTTAAGTACCAATTGTGGGACTAACTTATGAAGTGGGTGGTTAATGTGCGTGGCCAATCGAGTTCTTTCAGCTGGTTGTTAGCGAAGAATTTTTAACAGTATTTTGTAAAAAGGAGTATAATTGTGTAATTGTTATTCGAAGACCAATCTCGGTTTTGAAACACCATTTTTATTTGCACCTCTCTCAAATAGTGGTCTTGTCACAACATTCCTTCAAGAATATACAATATACTAGCTAATAAAGGATCGCGCGAGATAAAATAGTAAAAATGTGTTTAACAGTTCTTATCATACGTTCTTCAGTTCAACTAATGGACTAAGTTCACAGTAAAAATCCAACTGCACAATTACATCACGCATTATGTATGAAATTTTTTATTATGTATGAAAAATAAGTCAGCTGCCACCTCACTATCGCAATTTCTTTACCTTTGGTCTTCTATTCTACATTTTATTGTCCGTCTGTCGTCATATATGCTCACTACTAGCGAATTCTGAATTAGGTATATCTTTAAACAGTTTTAAAATGCATGGTTATATTTAAATCTCTCTTACGTACTAATCCGGTACTATTTTGGAGCGCAATATATAAAACAGCGAGAAATAGGCGTTATTGATTTTTTGAAGAGGTACATTGTTGTCGAGGCTTATAGGCCATTATCTGGAGTTGTCTGTCCTTGTTTCCTTTGCAACTGCAGCAGGTGCAACAGCATCAAGTGTTTGACGGTATAGATACGAGGTTACATCTACGTCCGCTCGATCCTCATCACCTTTTGCCACAGTTACAAACGAAACGTCAGAAACAAACAATTCTGGAACCTCTAAACCCCGACATCAATGTCGCTTGATAAAAAAAACGGCCTCGAAAGCACACTCTTTAATAATATTTGAAGAAGATATACTCCTTCTTTTTTTTCTTGTTATTTAATTCGACACACGTTTTTGCAACACAAGACGCATTTGTATTACCTTTATTATAATTATATAATAGCCTGTAGGTCTGTTGTATTTGATCTTGAATACTGGTTTTATAATACCTCTAGAATGTTTTGCTAAGCAGCATTTACGAGTATTTTTTTTACTTATATATTGATAAGAATTTATTTCAAACAGAACATGAACTTTTTGATAATGTGTTTTCAATAATAAAAAACGAGCATTTTCAGTTACCATCATTTTATATTCTGTGAATGCTCATCTTGAGAAAAAAACTGTGTCACCGATCTTCATTGTATTATTTCGAAATTTAAACCCTCAAACTCATAATCTCACTACTCAATACCTCAACAGGTTGGCAACAATACAACTTGTTTAGAAAACAGTGTAATTTTTTTTTTAAGAATCAGTAAGCATGTTTCATAACACAAATTTATTTGTTGGACCGCTATTGAAATAGAGGCTTATGCATTTTCATTAATAATCTTTCAGCTAGAAGCTTAGATTCCACTAACTTGCAAGTTTTCATCCGACGTTGTCAGTCTCTCTTAATAATCTTCAAAGAATTTATGACCATTATAAAACCATTTTAGTCGAATCCAATTCGGGATTTTCGTCACGAAAATCAGCCATGCATTCTGGAATTGAATACTTTTTTCACACCTTTATCGAAATAACTTCGTATGTTAGTGCCTCTATGGAAAAACACGGTCTAAAGATATTCTATTATATTAATTGCTTCTCTAATCAGTAGGTCTTTTCATCACAAATTAGTTTCAGCCATTTTTTTCATACTTTTTGTTGTAAACAAGCATGTTAGGTTAGTAATATCAATAACAATAAAGTACTTACGAATACATAATCAAGATAAAAAATATTAAAGACAGTCTAGTCATTGATAAAAATACGAAAATAAAGAATAAACTGCCTCAATTAGCAAATCAATGCTATTTATGTTAAATATATTCGATACTTGCATTTGTCATTTTTATCCTTAAAATATTAATTAATCTATTTTATTACTCATACACTATAGTAATATTGTTAATTAATAATAGTTAATAGTTGTTAATTAATATATTTCGGCAATCTCGATAAATCCACATCATTAATTAGAATAAAAAATTAAAGTAATTATTTGTATAGCACCTTCCAGGTATTATATGGAGTGATATCAATTCAACACATTTAAATTTTACACTCTTGCAATTATAATTTAGTATATATAAATTCAATTATAAAGTTCTTACCAATATAAAAGTAGAAAAATAATATAAACCTTATTCAGTTCATATTCCGAGTAATAGCTGTTAGTAAAACAAAATGTATCTTTTTTATTTTTACTAAGTAGCAAATTAATACTTTTTTTAATGATTCGTAGAAAAAGTATAGTACACAACTCGTATGTTGAGTATATTATGCCCTCGTTCGAATTACGCCACTCGCTAGCTCATGGCTGTAATTTCCTCACGCATGCGTAATAGACTCTTCCATACTTATTCTGTAATATACTATTACTTATATATTTTTGAATACTGGCATTACATTTAATTGGAAATGGTAGAAATATGATGTCAAGATTCAAAAAATATATTTTATAGATATCGATATTAGATATTTTGGGAATTTTAGATTCTAACATGCAGTTGGGACTGATGATTTTTACCCGTGCACCATCACTTAAACATACGAAAAGAGTGAGTGAACATCATCTCTTTCAAACAAGAGTAATAGTATAAACAAAAAAACCGCTAGAGTCGTATTGTTTATGGTTTTGAATTCGCAATGTAGAAACAGTGTGTCATGGATTGTACTAAAAAGGAAAGCTGTCATTTGCCATCAGGCTTTTATCAGTCTATTTTCGACACTGTGAGTTTTTAAGCATTCATAACAACTTATTTCGTTTCTTAGAAGTATAATTTAGATTTATGCATTGGATCTTGTTCTTTTTATTGGCGCACGGGTAAATTTCTACGATCCCTACTCTATACTTTGTTACATTGGGAAAGTTTTAGTGTGAATAGGATTGTTTTATAAAAAAATCTTTAAAATATTTTAATAAACTTGCCATTTTACGGTTATTAGTTAACTTAGTTTTAAGAAATATTTTTTGTAACTTGGTTCATTTGATTTTTTTGTGCTCATTACTATTATTATTCCTGTTATATATTTTTATATTATTATTTTGTTAGCTCAAAACATTTTTAACACGATGGTGTAATATTATTAGCGTTTTATTTCTTTTTTAGTGTATCTTAATTAACATGACTGCCCTTTTAATTTAATAACCTGACTCAATAATTTTGCTTATTTCCAAGTGTTCCAAATAGGATTAGAAGTAACAGAAATAGACATAGAGCAAAATATCTTGCAACACAACAAATCTTAAGTACTCTGTAATATCTACCACAGTTTATAGACCGAGGGATGATACACAATTTTTTAGCTTGTATAAGCTTAGCACAATAAGCTTTTTTAATTTTTGCAAAAATATATTTGAGGAAGTAATTTGATATCTGGACACAATAATATTTTTAAATACAAACATACTACAAGAAGTTAGCAGGAAGTAAAACATTCTCTACCCTGGCAAATACCAACACTAATGAAGTAACGCATTCCAAATTCAAATCCACGTGGCAAAATCCAGAAAATAAACCGTATAAGAAAGCAATTCGAAGCCCAACTCATGAATTTTAATTTTTGTCATTACCATCACGGTTTTATGAGCCGATGCATTGTTTTAGAGAAACAGCACTTTTTCTTCTGCATATGGAGCTGTTTTTCACTGAGCTCTTGTTTGAATGTGTCCAATAATGCAAAATAATATTGGCTATTGATAGTTTTACCTTTTCCAAGGTAGTCAATTAAAATTATGTCTTTGCAATCCCAAAATACAGTGGCCATAACCTTCCCGACATAATGAGCCACTCTTGATAGCTCCAGAGCACTTCTAAGGGCTTTAGGTTTCGTAACTAAGGTTCAGGTACAGCTGAGAAGTGGTCACACGATCATGTTTTTGACATGATTCACACACCTTCTCTTTACAATCAGCTAAAACTGATGGCTCCATCGCGCTAAAATTTGACATGTATGCCTAAAAGAGGTTAAACATTAGAAAAATGACAAGCAACGCAGTGACAACTGTTATGAGTGTTAGGCGCATGTATTAAAAGAAATGGGGATTAACACCGGACATGGTGCACTGGGTGTACGCCATGGTGATCAAATCCTCAATTACCTATGCAGCGACAATGTGGTGGAATAAGACACTTGAAATAGTTGCAAAAGCCAAACTCAGTAAGTTGCAAAGATTTAAGTTCTTCTTCTTCTTCAGCCTTAAGTAATCCAACTTTGGACATAGGCCTCCCCCAAATCAATCCGGTGTCTTCTATTTTGTGCCACTTGCTTCCAGTTGTGTCCTCCGATCTTCTTAATGTCATCAGCCCATTTCATTTGTGGTCTTCCTCTGCTTCTCTTTCCTAACCATGGCCTCCACTGTTGTATTTCGTGGTTCCATCTCTTATTTCCATTTTTTTGTCTATAAGTCTCACCCCGAGCATTGATCTTCATCGCTCTCTGTGCTTTTACTATTTTATCCATATTGGACTGGGCGAGTGTCCACGTCTGTGAACCATACGTTAGTATAGGGAGGATACACTGATCGTAAATTCTGGTTCTCAAATACTATTCTATTTTAGTGCTTTTCAAGATCCAACTCAGTTTTCTAAATCCTGTCCACGCTAACCTTATTCTTCTGATAATTTCGGCAGTTTGATTTTCTTTGTTAATTTTCATTATCTGTCCCAGGTAGATGTATTCGCTTACTGTTTCTAAATTTATGTCGTTCAACGTTATTTTGTAATGTTCGGTGTATTTGTCATTATTTTGGTTTTTTTTCCAAGCTCATCTTAAGACCTACTTTTTCCGAAGCTTGAAATAGTTGCGTCGTCATGGTCTGTAGTTCTTCGAAACTTGTAGCGAATATTACAATGTCATCAGCGTATCTTAAATGACTTAGTTTTCTTCTATTACCATTTACTCCCTTATCTGCACAGTTAATGTCTTTGAACACGTCTTTAAGTCCAAGTGTGAATAGCTTTGGTAAAGTAATATCTCCCTGGCGAACTCCTCTGTTGATTGGTATAGGTTTGGTTTTTGCATCAATTTGTATTTTCATTGTAGCTTTCTTGTAAATATTGCGTATGAGCATTCTGTATCGGGAGTCTATCCTGCAGTTGTTAATAGCTCTCTCTATTGCCCAAAGTTCTATGGAGTCAAATGCCTTTTCATAATCAACGAAACCAATCTATAAGTTCAAGTGATATTCATTGCTTTCTCTATTAGCGATCTGACTATACGAAGATGATCCACTGTACTGTAACCTTTTTGGAATCCTGCCTGCTCTACCGGTTGATAGCTATCGAGCTTCGAAACTCGATAGAATTAGATCACATGACAAAAATATGCAATTTTAAGAATTCAAGCAGGGATGTATGGAGAAACAAGAAGTACCACAATCAAGAAGGTAAGATGTGGCATACAGACGGATCCAAGATTGGGGAGGGTGTGAGAGCAGGAATA